TAGCTTTATTCACCCATTTACAGACTGAATCTATTTAGGTGACTGGAGATATTGTTATCGCTGGCAATTTTCTTTCTTTCTATCACTTTTTTTTCTTGCTTCTCATAATATTCTCTCCTGTCCCACAGCCCGGAAGATGTTACTGTAGCTCAGTATGTGCTGGTAGTAGCCATTCTTCTGTGTGCTGCCTGCCGTTTGGCTTCTTACTGGCACTAAAAGGAGAGAGCTCATCGCCCCGGCTTTTCCTGGCTGGTCCTTCTAGTGTGGCATGAAATTGATTTTAACAAGCACTTTGTTTGGATCCACCATTAAGCACCACAGATTCTTTAACCCTTCAAATTCTCATGCCCCAGTGCCTGAATGCTATGTTTTTATTCTGCCTGTTTGTGGTTTGGTTGGTTTACGGATAGATTTGCATAACAATTTTACTAAAGGCTGACTTCAGCACAACTAAAGGATAATTAACTTTGATGAATCTGGATGCAGAAGCTTTTTGGATGCATTATTCATCAGTGTCAGATGACAATAGCAAATAACAGGGCCAATTCTCCCATGGCAATTTTCTTAAAAAATAATGGGACATATTACGGAGTATTTATTTATTTTTTTATTACTAAAAATTCTCTAATCCTGAACCTATAGGAAAAAAAGGTAATGTTTCTAGAAGCAACACCGATTTATTCAAAAAGAGCCAAGTTGCACCACGAGGAATTCAAAACCCTTCACAGAAAATCTCAGTATAATAAAAATAAATGAAATTGTGATAGAAAAGGGATCTCTGGGAAGACACCGGAGTGATTGCAGTTTATAAATTCCTCTCTGTCTTTCTTCCCTTGTGTTACTTATCTCCTTTCTCTTCTGTCATACCAAACAACTCAGGCTTAATATTTAGCATTCTCAGTGCATTTTAGTTCTCGGCTTACCAAAGTTGAGTGAGTGATTTAAAAAGTTTTTCTACCTCGCCAGTTTCTATCACGATGTGAAGTAAATGACAGAAAGAAACAAATGCGTCCAGCTAGGTCTGTTCGCCTTTGCTAACCAGCCTCCTTCCAGCACAATCACTCGACGAACCCTCTGGAAGGAAATTGAAAATCAACATGACTTAAAATACATCTGCTGCCCTTCAAAAGTAGCTGCTTGTAACACTTTCTTCAAACATTGATTTACAAGTCGGTGCAAAAGCTTCCAGTCACAGCTCAGTCATATTAGAAATATTGATGACCACATGACTGACTGACTGGATGCTGTCAAATTTGTCAACTTCTGCCAAGTAATCCAGAAAATATATTAAGAGGAAAACTGGATCAAAGAATTCCTGTCGCGGCCTTTTACTTTCCAAACAAAAAAAATCCGAGGAAAGGCCGTGGGTGGCAACGGGAGGTTTGTTTTGCTACGCACTTCTGACTCCATTGTTTAAAATCATATGCCGTTTATTTCGGGAAAAAAATACAAACAGAAATCAGCCAAATAACTTCTTAAAACTTAAACTTAAACGAAAGTTAACTTAATTTGTTTTAACAATTTCAAAAGTGGTCAAAAAATCATTTTTTAACCCTCCCGTCTTCCCATCTGACATTTGGCAAACAAAACAAAAAACCTCTTTACCACACCCATCCCGGGTGCTCTTCATCTCTTAATTAATGGGAGGGTCCATAAACTAATAAACCAATCACTTATCGAATGCTTATCCAATAAAATTAATTACAAATTAAGGTCAGTATATTCTTACACCTTCAAGGAAAAAACAAAAAATGAATACAAATTGCATTCTAAAAACATTCAACAAAAATGGCCACAACAATTCCTGAAGGTGGTCTCGGCTCAGGGCTTCAGGCTGTGATGTCCTCGGAGGAGAGATTTCTCCTTTTAACCCCAGAAACTGAGTCTCTTGGAGGGGAGAAGTTCATTCTCTATAAAACAGGCACAAAGCTTCAAGTTATCTGTAAAACTAACCACAACTGGGTTAAGATAAGATAACCTTTATTATCCCACACGTGGGAAATTTGTTTTGCTACAACAGAAAGTGGACAGTGCAATGTTATATAGCAAAATATATATAGCAAAAATTAAATCATCCATCCATCCATCTTCATCCGCTTTAACCGAGGCTGGGTCGCGGGGGCAGCAGCCTAAGCAAAGAGGCCCAGACCTCCCTCTCCCCAGCCACCTTCCTCCAGCTTATCCGGGGGAACACCAAGGCGTTCCCAGGCCAGCCGAGAGATATAATCTCTCCAGCGTGTCCTGGGTCTGCCCCGGGGCCTCCTCCCGGTGGGACATGCCTGGAACACCTCACCCAGGAGGCGCCCAGGGGGCATCCTTGTCAGATGCCCGAACCACCTCAGCTGGCTCCTTTCGATGTGGAGCAGCAGCGGCTCTACTCTGAGCCCCTCCCGGATGGCCGAACTTCTCACCCTATCTCTAAGGGAGAGGCCAGCCACCCTTCGGAGGAAGCTCATTTCTGCCGCTTGTATCCGCGATCTCGTTCTTTCGGTCACTACCCACAGCTCGTGGCCATAGGTGAGGGTAGGGACGTAGATCGACCGGTAAATTGAGAGCTTCGCTTTTACACTCAGCTCCCTCTTCACCACGACGGACCGGTGCAGCGTCTGCATTACTGCAGCTGCAGCCCCAATCCGTCTGTCGATCTCCGGCTCCCTTCTCCCATCACTCGCGAACAAGACCCCGAGATACTTGAACTCCTCCACTTGGGGCAGGAACTCATCCCCGACCCGGAGTGGGCACTCCACCCTTTTCCGGCTGAGAACCATGGCCTCAGATTTGGAGGTGCTGATCCTCATTCCCGCTGCTTCACACTCGGCTGCGAACCGTTCCAGTGCGAGCTGGAGGCCCTCACCCAATGAAGCCAACAAAATTAAACCCCACATGTTAATATTTACTTGTTTGTATGGCAAAGAATGCCAAGTTTGACCAACACATTCTCATCTTTGGAGTCAAGTACTGCCGTTCTGTCAGCAGCTGCTGGCATCACAGAGACACGCTGGCAGAGGCAACATTGGACACAAAGAGATAAAAGTTCTCTTTTAAAAGAGTGACAAAGTCTGCCTGAGGGGCGGCAGTTTCAAAGTCATGGGTTTGTGAGTCAGACCCTGTCATGTTTGGGTGATTTGTGTTTTGCACTCATGGATTTCTTTTACTTTTGCTCACTTTTTACATTTGTTTTCAGTCGCTGGTAACATTTATGGTCGGGAATAAATGTGTCGCTTCTCGACAGTTGTCAAATGATGCTTACGGCTACCCCATGTGTTTAAATGTGACTTCGTTGCTGTTTATAGTGATGCCAGTGACATCTGGTGTAGGTTGGGGCCCAAGATTACATTTTTTTTAATCTCATCTCAAACACTAATGTCTTCATGCTAGAGCTCCCTGCAATCCCTCAAACCTTTTACTTGAATGTTAAATTTACTCCAAACTAAAAATCTGTTTATTTATTATTAAGGGCGAGTTTCTCAGCAGCAACTGAGATTGGTCCTTTTTAATCCTCAGATCAGAGCCTTTTTGGTCAAATGGTATCTATAAATCATCCTGTTGTTGATGCAATGTGTCTTAGAGTGAAATAACGATTTGCTATCACTTGCTATTGACAGAAAGGATGGGGCAGTTCAAGTGACAGTTTGTAGTTTAATCTACTATGTAAAGTATATTTTCTCACTTGCATTAATGACAATAATCTGTGACAAAGAGCATTACAGTAGGTCTGTGCATTTCTTTCCTTCAAAGAGCTTCCAAAGGCACAGACACTGACACACCAGGATTGAGTGTGGGAGGTTCTTATCTAGCCACTGCTTAACACAATGCTGGGGGAAGACGTTGGCAGGACTAGAGACGTCAGCTCGGCAATGAAAATGTGGCAGCCTGAACAATGTTGCAGAAGCATAAAACCTCTCGCTGAATATAAATGGGGAAACCTGCAAGATAGCTCTGTAGAAAATATCATCTGTCACTGCCAAGTTTGCATAGTCTAAGCAGGTTTTCTAAAAAAAGCTTTACTTCGTTTGACTGCTTAGGCAGCGATCGGGCAGCTGAAAGAGATGCAGCAGTGCTTGTTCTTGTGAAATTTGACTTTGAGCATGTAGATGCTGTAAAGCCAGGCAAGAGGAAGAGCATTTTCCTTGATACTACAGAGATTTTTTTTTTTAACCAAAAGAGGACACATTTTGAGAGAGAGTGAGGGACTCTGGTTAACAAGTTTCATGTCGTTAACTAGCGCTTTTCAGCTGTGATACCCGACACAGAGTCCGCGAGAGCCAAAACCTGGAGCGAGCAGCTTGGCGAAGACGAGGTGGAGCCGCTGGCATCTATCCTTCACAGCCTCGCAGCGTGTGCATGGGAAACGCACACTAACATTCAACACACAATCGCTGGAAGGATCTCATCAAACTCACATTAGGGCTTCAGACACACACTTTGAGCATGTGCCATGCATGCGCACACATACCCACACATACTAATGAGGAGTGCGACTGGTAACGGTGCCAACATCACAAAAACTCCCTCACTGCACCCTGCACGCCTCTCTGTTCTCACTGTTTCCAAGGAGACTGCAGCACATTGGTATTCTGGTGGGACACTTCATGAGCAATTGTGAGAAAAAGAGAGAGATAGTGCAAGAGAGAGAAAGAAAGCAGAAAGATAGAAATGGTGCGGGGAGTAAAGATACGTAAGTACATATGTGTAAGGAGGATAAAAACAGATTAAGACAGCGTGTAAAATACAGTGCAGCACGCACGGTTGACGGCAGCTAATATGTTAATGTATAACTACAGATATATTTGTATTCACCACAGCTTTCCTGATTACATTTCAAATTATGTCACAGTGCCATATGTAATTAGACACATCCAACTTATGCCGTTTGCTGGCTGTTATGAACAATTTGTTCTGTATCTGAGCCCTCAGAGTGTATTGTTTATCCAATATGAAAAGTGGTGATGTTTACAGTTATGACTCAGACAGATGCAAGACAAGAAAAGCTTCCTTACCCATAAACTCGATGCCCAAGTGATCTGTTGTTTCACGCAGCAGAACGGAAGAAGGAGAGAGAGAGAAAAGAAAACAGCTTTTATTAAGAATTGCGTACAATAGCATTGTGTGTTATGTGTGTAAGTCATCTGTTGTCACAAGAGGTCAGAAGACACATGTTAGTAAAATTACACAATAAATGACACACATGCGTGAGGACCCTCAGAGATAATAATGCTGGATCTGAACTAACCTCGTGCTTAAAGGCCCAGAACTCTTTCAGTCGGGTTCACGCTATGAACACCGCAGTTGTTTGAAAAAGTTGTTATATCCTCCCCCATGCACAAATCAAGAATTATTAACATTTGAACAGATGTCTGATGACAGTATTGTGGGCTTTGCTTGTGTTTCCTGCACCCTGTCAGTCAAATCGGATCAAACCACAGACCAAAGGAATCACAGTAACTGGGATCCTAAGCGATAAACTTGGCTCAGAGATTTGAATCTGTCAGTATCATTTTATACTTTACTCGGTTTACTCGGTGGAGAAAGAACACTTCAGTAGCCTCACATGTAAGTGGTGTTATTTACTGTCATTTTGTACCAATGAGAACCAAACCAAGCAGAGATCTTAGCAGAACTACTACAGCTCACACTGTTCCAGCTCTCAGGCTTTCCTTCCAGACTAATATTTTCTTCATCACTTCATTCAGATAAAATGCTTTCTAATCTTTTACCTACAGCTCAGATTTCTGACCTTGACATTTCTGCAGACACAAGTAAAATCGACAGATGCTGGAAAAAGGCTTCAAGGCCACCAATAGAATCCACTCGTTACAAAGAAGAGAGAAAAAAATCACTATCAATGTTCATCCACAGCCTAAAACTGTCTAGTTTTGACTCTGAACAAACACATTTTGTCTTCACCAAATTGCGATCACAAATATAGAAAAGTGTGACTTAAATCTTTCCTGCCTGTTGGCATCTGGCTTTACAATTGGTCCCTCTAAAGCAGCGGTCCCCAACTCCCGGGCCTCGGGTCCGTGAGTCGTTTGGTACCGGGCCGCGAGAGTTGAGGCTCAGGTGTGAAATGTATGGTTTTCAGGGTTTTTATCGGTTTTCAGCGTTATTTTGTTATCGTTTTTATCGTTAACTCAGTTTTCCTGGGTCTTTTCACGTGTGTTATGAATAAATCTTCTTTTTTTCGGTACCGGTACTAGTTTTATTTTGTTGTATTTATCCGCGACACCTTAAAGGCCGGTCTGTGAAAATATTGTCGGGCATAAACCGGTCCGTGGCGCGAAAACCACGGTCCGTGGTTGGGGACCGCTGCTCTAAAGTACACAATGCAATACTTGCACCCCCTTAAAATCACATCCTCTACAGAGAAAATTACAAAGTCAATATAAGAGGGGGCACCTCAGTGTCAACTATATATATTTAATTTTGTGTAATACATTGGGATATTTATAATTAGAGGCATTTGTATTTATTTTGTAACTTTGTTTAGTTAATTGAGTTAATTAGTTCATTAATTATTCTATTATCTAATCATAATTAGAAAATGTTAACCAATAAGACACAAATCAATTAAACCTTTCAACATTTCAGTCATTAGTGTTGATTTCTACCAAAGTACTGACTTGGCAGTAGTACCAAACCCAGGTCTAGTAACTTCAGCTGTTTTATATGTTACACGATGCACTGATAGAACTTACTAAATACAAGGTTTGATTGGCTTTTATTTACTTTAAATCGCTCACGCTGTTTTCATAACACTAACCAAAGTACTTTCCTGACTCTAACCACTCAATCCATTCAAAACCAAACAGTTTTGTACCAGTCATGCTGCACTTAAGTATAAACTAGAGAAACAAATTAGCTGTATCAGAGTGTATTTAGATGAAAAATGCACATTTAAACACATAAAAATATCACAGCCAACCAGCACACCTGTGAACTCATCGAAATGAATAATAAATTGAGGATGAAATTCATTCACAAACTTGAGCTCAGACACGGTTACAGCAGATCAGCGGATCCTGCTGCCAACCCCCATCCGCTACTGGCTCAGCTGATACAGCTGACACATGCAGATGGTAAATATCACGTTAATAAAACCAATTCAAGCTTTTTTCGCCTCCTCACAGTCGACTTCACAGAAGTGGAAATTTCAAGATTAGAGTGTAAAATGTCTTTTGAGAAAAAAGTCGAAATGTGGAAATTATTGTTGTTGTTTCAGGACAAACTGCCATGGCTGCCATACCTTCTATACGGTCCTCATCTCAGTACTAGAAATCAAGGAAGAGGCATGAGGAGAGAGGATTTGAGGCAGGAGGCATTAACAAAATGAGACATCCTTGCTTCTGAGCTGTCATTTTAAGACAGTGTCAATGTAGAATGAGGAGTGCACAGCTTCTTAATCGGTTCATTGTGGGGTTTTTAAGACTACTACTGTTATTTATGATCTCTGTCAGATGAGCATGACAGTGTTCATGAAAACAAACCGTTTATATTCAATTCCCAGTGTGACACAGTGTGACAAGAATGCACACATAATATATTTTTCTTCCTTTAGTCATCACACCCACAAATGTTGAAGGGTAGAGATGATTTCCTTTGATAACCAACACAACCAGTGAACAATAAACACATGTATTTGTAAAATCCTTCTACCACCATGCTTTAAAGATTCCAGCTGTTTGGCACAGCTGTTTTGTATGACATGGTTGAAAAGACTTTCTCAAGGTGCACCTGGTCATCCTCGATATCCTCGTCTTACAACTCTTCTCTCTATTGATTGCTCCCGTCTCCAGATACATTTTAGAGCCCGATCCCGATATCCATCTTAAGACCTAAGCACAAGAGCATCACAGAGGGTACCAAACGTCTCCTTTGTATACAGCTGTGAAGTCCAAGAGCACTTTAGCACATGGCTTTACACACTTTACTGACTATCTAAAGGGATGGAGACTGCATGTGTTTTTAAATATATTCAAAGCTCTTTCCTTATAGCGAGAACGACAGGTACCTCATTCTCTCTAGTATTTTTGTCACGTTTCTTTACTAAATAAAAATTGAAAAACAATGATGTACAAGCATGGTTTGTGATAAAACATGCTGCATTCCTGTAATTTTATGTCACCTTTCATCCTGTAACCCTCAAGGAGTCTTCTTTGTATACAGTTTTCTTTTAATGCCTGTGTGGCATCCCTTAGTAGTGTAACAACGCTGTGAACTGAGGGTAAATGCATATGGTAAAGTCTGCAGAAATGCAGACTTACGAAAGTGTGCATAAAGGGCTCGAAATGTTTCTTGTGGTGCCCTTGCACACTTTGACAATGGTACAGCCCTCAATAACTTACTGTAACAGTGACTCAGTGTGGACACTGAGACTGAGCTGACGAGATGAGACGTTCTTGAAGGTGATTCACAGAGTGAATGAGGACAGAGGATAGAGGAGACAGGAAGGCAAGGAACAGAGAAATGAGAAAAGCCCTCTCTCCATGCGTGTCTGTCTGGGTGAAGTTCCTGAAACTGACCAATCAACTGGCACATCTGAAACTCATCCTCTCATTAAGATCCAGCAGTATTTGAACCTTAAATTTCAGCCTGTTCAGTCCTTCTACATGGCATTGACACTGCAGCTGAACTAGCTGTAGTCTCTAGTCACAGTTTGCAGTCAAGTTGTCTCAAAGTTATGCCTTCTTTCTGTGTCATGGGTTGCTCTCCATTGCTCATCAGTGTGCCAATTGCCTTGCACGCTTTCCACCATCATCTCTTCCTGGATAAAGCCTGCCTGTCTGACTCTCTGCTCCAATCAACGCCCACCAGCCAGCCTTTCTCTACGCTCTTCCCACTGGTTCTCCTGCCAGCTCTAACCAGCCGTGTACCAAGCCTCGTCTGCTTCCACTCCAAACTATCGCTACTGATGCAACTTCTCACCAAAGGTGGCCAGTGTTGCGGGATTCCATTAGTAGTAAAATAATACAAAAAGATCTGTTATTTTTAACCATTTCTGTTTCTTATTTACAACTTTGTGCTTTTAAAGAGCAGAATTTCTTATTTCATCCCTAAAAATCGGTTCATGACTTCCGTGAAAAAAAAACAAACTGCACAAATAGTCAAGTAAAATGACACCTCTGATTAGATCCAATTTCAAATGATCACTCTCACACTGCCACATATTATATAAGGATCACAGACAGGAAAAACTCCTGTCACCGACTAGTAGACATAATCTGAAGGAAGTGCAGATGTCTGTGGTGTTACCGATGGCTTCTCTCGCACTGACAGTGACTTTATCTCCTAAGTGGCCCTGTCCTACATCTTAGAGTGGGTGAGCTGGTCTTTCTAATGCGAAAATCTCTGTCCAATCTGCCCCCAGTCTTATCGGGCAATGTTAGCACAGATGTAAGCGGATCATTTTTCACTTTGCCAGTGACCCAGAGACCTCTCTCCAATGCCTTCTTGATTTCTCCTTTCAAAAAAGCCTGTGATGCAGGACATGAGGAGGTGAACGAGATAAACAGTGCAGTAAAAGCTTTTGGAATAAGCTGCATTTTACCAAATATTTGGCAACTGTTTTTAATTCCCAATTTGACATCAGAGAGGTTTATTTATATATTTATTCATTGTTTTTATTAAAAAAAATGCACAATGTTTTTCTTTATTTGCAATTCTGGTAGACAGTTAATCTCCATTTCGTTCTATAATGACACACGTGCACGTATATTTTTAGCATCAGTGACCTCGCTGATATCTGCACAGCTACAAGAAAATGATGGTGTGATCTGTTCTTTGAAATTCTGCACTTTTTCATCCCTTTGGGTAGAGCTATAAGCGCTGTTGCTGGGTTGGAAACTCAATTTCCCATGGAGCTCAAAGAGAAGAGACTAACACTAAAGCTGCCAAGGTTTGGGATTTCATTTTCTGTATAGCTTGGTTGGTAGAGTATATATCAGCACCGGCACTGTCAGGATATAAGACTTAGTTCCCACTGGGGCTGGCTATACTCAAGATGTATGCACTTCTGCTACTGTAA